ACCAGTAGAAAGTCGAGGTGTCTCTCCATCGTTGTAAATGAAGGTGAGGCATCTATTTACGAAATCAAACCTCCGTCCAATGAACCCCACGCCGCCTCCTGTGCGATGGTTATTCTGTCGTATAATTAATTTGTCTGTTCACAACGAGCCTGAATGCTCTGAGTCCATATAATGAACCATCTGCCACAACAGGAAGTACGTTCATAGCTTTGAGTTTTGGTACAGACTTGATTATTTTCAGTGAAACGCAGTTTTTGGATGTTGGTGTGGAAATGTCAGAGTATATGATGTGCAGGTATAAGTGTGAGATTTCAGTGTTAAACGTCTCTCTCTGCTGCAGCTCGTTCTCCTCATGCACACTCAGGAAATCCCAGGAAACCAAATCTGCATTTATGATTTCTGAGCCAAGATCTTTTGTTTATGTAGCTTTGGGACAGTTTGGCATTTTTAAAAGTGTTTCCAACATAATCTGTGGGCAGTTTCAACAATATTTTGCTAAATGTGAATAATTTATCACCTCACTTGGAGGAAAACACAGTGTCAGAGCGACGTTCCTGCAGAGCTGCACCTGTAACCAGGCCGTGGAGGTCTGATGGAGTATACATCCACCAGGAGCGTCCACGCTGCTGTCGCGGTGCAGATTTTATTTAAGTGAAAAGAGAGAAGGCCTGCGTGTTTTTCACCTCCAGCTTCGGGTGGAGCTCTGTGGAGACGCAGCAGCCTGTGAGGATCGTCGGGTTTTTCTCTACAGCAGAGGCTTAAAGCAGCTTCCTGCCCGCCTGCCGCTAACCGGGAGTCCTCGTTGCACTCCCCCCTCGCTGCTGACACGCACGCCACTGTGTCTGAATCCGGGGGCAGCATCGATTATTCATGCAGCGAGTGGAGCTGCCCGTCACCCCCCCTCACGCTGACATGTGCCTCGCTCGCTGGAGCCGATTAATTGGCAGGAGAACGAGAGAAGACGAGAGGGAGGGTGTCACAGAGAAAGAGCAGCCGGCAGGGAGGGGTGAGCCGGGAGAGAAGAGAGGGAGTGTTACTGCGCTGTGGTGCCGGAGGTGGAGTAACACGGCAGAGTTTGGAAGTATCGCCGTCTCGTCGTAGGCGTTGGACATTCTGGACTCGAAGGAAGCATCTTTCATTTACTCTTTATCCTCCTCCCCCTCCTCCCCCAGCTCCTCCTCCTCTGTTTGGGAAGATGACCACTCATTACCTGCAGCAGGACTTCCTGTCTAAAGCTGTGAACGGCGAGAAGAAGCTGCCGCGGGTCAACGCCAGCTTACAAGAGTCCATCGCCCACCTGCACCCTCTACAGAGGCAGCACGCCATCGAGCTCCACCGACAGCAGCAGCAGCAGTCGTTCAATCACCCGCAGGTCCAGGCGTCGCTGTCGACCTTCACCGCCTGCACCGTGCCGGCGTCCTGTCGAGCTCGCAGTCGGTTCCTCAACCTGCGGGACAGCGTGAAGAAAAGCCCGACCAAGAGTACGGCCAAAGTCCTCAAGAGCGCCAGGAAGGAGATCTCCTGGGTGCCCTTCGCTTACAGCAAGGTAGCGACATCATGTGACCTGTTCAGAGATTTTTACTTTTTCCACTGCGGGAACTAAAACTTTGTCGATTGAGTGCCGTACGTTTAAAGAAGTAAAAGATCGCTTTGTTAGAAAGGAGAGTGGGAGCTAAAGGCTGTTCCACAGAAACGAGCAGCCGACGGTGGGCGGGTGAATGGATGGAGGTTGTTCCCCTTTAACCACTGATTGATTTCTAAAGGACACACAGATTGTAGCACAGTCAGATCAACAAGTGCTGATGTTTGTAGAGTTTCAGTAAAATCAGCTGAGACTGAAAACTACAGTCAGGTTTCAGGAGACTCTCAGTGTCTGGGTCTTTATATGAAACAGACTAAAACCTGCTGCTGCTCAAAACTCCCGTTTGCTGTGGTGAGTTCAAGGTCACATTGGAGAACTGGCTGTTTTGGTGATGGTGGTTGTGGTGACACGCAGAGCAGTTTGTACAGTGTTGTAGCAGGAGTGTGTGTGAATGAGACCTGCGGTCGGTCAGATCGAGTTACTACACGGAGAATCGATGGACTCTGTCCACGTGTGACAGCCACATCACCCTGCCATCACATTTAAATCCATACTTAAACACTTTCCAGCTGCTCGTCTTTTTTACGACCGAATACATGAGCGATGGTGTGAGCCACGTGTTTTGGTTGGGGATTCATCTGCTGCACATTTCAAGCTCCCATCTTTAAGTGGTGGTCTGTGGTCACACCGTCGCTACGTTATGGCTTCATCACCGATTCGGTCCAAAGCGTCTGTGGCTCCTCCCACCAGCGGACATTCAGATCCATGTTATGGATGCAGTGAGCTAAGAAAAAACTGCAGCCACACTTTTAACGAGGGGCTCGAGTGGGGGGGTTGTTTGATCTGTGTGGCTTCGCTGGTACACTGAAGACTAAAGTGACACACGTGCCTCATTTACTGAAAGCAGGACATAGATTCTCTGTAATAAACCAGCAGGGGGAGACTCCTCTGACCTCTGACCTTGGTTAAGACTGCTGATGAGTTCATGGTTTCAGGCTCCCGTTTTGTGTCCTGTTGAATAAAACGCGGTGCTCGTGTTGGAGATGAAGGACATTAAAGTTAAAAGGACTAAAACGGGACATTCAGGGCGGGGCTACCATGTCATTGACTGAAGGTCAAGATGGTGAAAATGGTCAGTTTGAGGCCGTCCATCTTTTATATACAGACTGCGATGATAAGTTTGGGGTCGTGTGGAAAAGATGTCATCAGGTAAAATCATCAACTGTAAAAGTCTCTGAGAGAAAAATTAAAAATACTAATTAATGTGTAATTTTATAAACTCCAGGTGGGCTCAGCTGTGTTAATGATATTTATATGAAGGACTGATGTTATGTCAGCGGTGTAAGTTCATCGGGGTCAAACATCAGCTTGGAAACCTGATCGGTCAATAAATCGATTGACGTATTGGGCGTCTGATTGGTTTTGGTTGTTGTTGTGGATTTGATGGTGTATCGTCGATCGCTCTCTGATAGATGAAATCATAACCTCTGCCCTCTCGGTGTCGCTGCATTTGTTAAACCAGTTTTGTGTCTTTTGGGAGTAATTAAGCCTCGTTGTCAGCAGCTTTCTGGCGAGCGGAGCCGCAGAAGTAGGGCTGGCGGATCAATGCGGTCGATGTGCGGGGCTAATTTTAGCGGCTGTTGGTTTTCCATGGGCTCCGGGTTCTGCTGCTGCAGCACAACAATTAAGCCTCTTGGAAACGCAGCGGCGCTTCCTGCCAGCAGCTTCACGAGGTCCTGCTGTTGCATAACAGAGGTCACAGCGGTGAGGGCCGCCGCTCGCTCCTCTGTGATGTTTCATGTGCACGCAGGGGTGTTAAATTACATGTAGACGTGAAAGAAAATCTTTGACTGAAACAGGAAACAGAAGAAAGATCTAAAAAAATCCTGTTTTAATTCATTTAAGTCACGTGCATCACACACATTTATGGGTTGTGTCTGAACAGTTTACAAAGGTTTTATTTTGTGTATTTTCATTCTTAGTAGATGAATAAACAGCAGCATGGCTGCAGTAGAAAGACGATCCACTCTTTTAAAGGCTGTTTGTTTCTCGAGCTGAAACCCACGAGTGGAGCTGCTGCCGGTGTGGCGTTCATGGGCAGATTGTGCGGAGGCTGCTGCTGTCGGGGAGCGCTGGTGCTAGTTAAAGTTAGCTTGTTCTGCAGTGTTCAGGTCAAAAACACATCAGTCAGATGCTGTAGTTCCCCAGCAGCACGTAGCATTGCAACGAGACGTCTGACGTCTAATACGCAGCATGTGATTGGCCAGCTGCTGGCTCGTTCAGACCAGTGATGATGTTTCCACTAAAACCAGTTACAAGTTCACCTTTGAATCAAACGCCGAGTGGGCCCATCATGAAATGAAGAGGCTGCTGTGGAGTGAAAAACACGGCCTGAAGGCGACGCTGGTTACGCTCGACAGCATTGTGAGAACAATAGAACCACAATAGAAACGCGTTTAGCAAAAAGTGTCGCCAGACTGAGTCGGAGCTGAAACTCGACAGTAGCGAGGACGATGCTATCGTAGTTTTAATGTGGAGCAAAGAGGCGGAGCCATCAGCGGTAAAAAAAAAACAAAACCCTGACGGACAAGATGAAACCTGAATAAGCGTCTCTTCAGCTGCTTCGTTTGCCTTTGCGTTAGCGACAAAGCTACAGTGACGCTGTAGACGGTGAAGTTGAAGGCGTGTCTTAATTTGGCAGCTGTGCCGTGTTCAGGTACATTTATTTAACGTTGTTTGCAGATATGTACTTGTAAACCTGCCAGCTGATCGTGTTATTGGAGCTGAATGAAATCGGTCCTCGAGCTCTTCGTTTGATTTTTGGGAGTTGAAGGTGAAACGATCAGTGACGTCATGGTGAACATGTGAGTGTGCGGTTTGAGCGCTTCTTTAGCGTCAGTAGAAACTCGGACAAGAGGTCGCGGATACAGCTGTGACCTTTGACCTTTGAGGGTCTGTGCCAATGTCATCACTGGCTGTCGGGGTTAAAACTCCCAGATTGAAATATCCGCTGCTTTTCAGTAATGACATAAAGGACATCGGCCCCCTGCTGAAGCTGTACCGAGGGACTGAGGATTTACCCCACACACACACACACACACACACACACACACACACACACACACACACACACACACACACAGGAGAGATGGCTTTAATCCTCAGAACAGCAGATGGGCGAGTTTGCCACATCAGGATCGTCAGGTGTCACTCACACAGTGACCTCCTGTGATTGGCCGACCTCTCTGACACTTGGCGGTCCTTCTCTGTCAAACTCCTCCCATCTGGCACCTCGGCTCGACCTAAACAAACGCCCCCTATCAGTCAGCATGCACATACACATATACATCCTCTCCTCCTCCTTCACCGGCTGTTCATCTGTGTCTAACCTTTGACCCCTCACCATGCTATTGTTCAGCAGGCCGAGGCCGCCCCGCCTTCCTCACCCATAATCCCCGTGATCCCAATCTTGCCAATCCCAGCCGAGACCACCGCCATCCCTCCAACGTCACAGGTCTCCTTTTTTTGTTCCTTTTTGACTTTCCTCCTCTCCTTCTTCTCTGCTCGATCCCTCCATCCTTCCCTCCTTCCATCCTCACTTCCCTCCTCGCTCATTTGGCTCTGCGGCTTTCTGTCGAGTTCGGTTTTCAGTGTCGGCCGTCCAGCTGTGGCGCTGATGAAGTGAGCAGATTAGAGATAGAAACAGCGGGAGGAATGCCACGCTCCCCCCGTTTGACTTTTCAGAGCCCATCTGGCTCCTCCCGGGCGAGCGAGCGAGAGTCAGAGTAGACGAGGAAGACGAGGTGAAGGAGCAGCTTCTCCCCTCCTGCACGACTGGATTTGATTGATTTTCTTGATTTGTTTCTTCATTTAAGGCTTCATGCTTCAGAACTGCATCTTCTGCAGCGTGAAGCGCCACCATGTACGTACCGCTCGTGCTCGCTAATCTGTGCTCAAATCCGCGGGCTTCCCGTTTTAGCATCATGAGGAGAGTTAGTCTTTTAGCAGCTGTGCGGCGGCCGACCCGGGCGCAGCGTGGGGTGTGATCGGAGGGGTGGAGGTTCAGGGGGGTTTCTTTATTGTGAGGGTGTTTGTAGGGTGGAGATGTTTTTCCTCTGTGATGTTCTGACGTGTCTCCTCGTTTCTGCAGGCCAATCCTCCGCCTGTGGTGGTCAACGCAGACAGCCTGGACACACCTCCATACGTGAGTGCTGCTCATTTCTGAATGGCTGCATGAGTGATGGATAGATTGGAAGATGACAGATGCATGAAGGCATGATACCTGTGTTGATGATTTTATGGATAAAGATGGAGTCGTGGGTGGGTAGATCCACAGACAATGGCTAGGATGCAGGACTCTGTGGATCTGCAGATGTTTGGTAACTCCATCTTCACCGTCCAGCTGGAGCCTCACCTGCCTAGCACTGGACCCGTCTTTATTAAATTGATGTTTGCCTCCCGTGGACTCCGGCCGCTGTCAGCACGGCGTCGCTTCAGTTTCACCTGACGGGGAGAAATATTTGAAGAAGCATCTGCTTCGCTCTCCTCTCCCCACATCAGTTCAGAGTTCAGTGCTGCAGCACGTTTCTGTTAATTGGACGGTTTAAAGGAAATGTGTTAGATCAGAGTCGGTGAGTGGAGCCTGCAGGAGCTGTGGGCAGACGGCTGCATCGCACGAACCTTGAACTTCAGGTTTAAGAGGAGGAAATAAAAACTCTTCAGTTCTCCGAGGTTAGACGTGAGCCTGAGGAGCAGGAGGAGGCTCAGTTGAACCCTGGACTCAGTGAAGTGTTTCTAATGAAGTACAGTAGAGTCTGTGTTCTACTAACGTGTTTGCTTCCTATAAACTGCTGCTGGGAGGAGCCGACAGGTGAGCTGATACCTGTGTGTGTGTTTGCAGGTGAACGGGACGGAGGCTGATTATGAGTACGAGGAGATCACGCTGGAGCGGGTAAGCTGCCTTTACTGTTTACTTCCCTGTGAGTGACGGCCGTGCTGCTCGCCGCGAGAGCCGCCGTAACTCCGTCGCGTCTTTACGAGCCACATAAACGAGCCGCGGTCTATGACTCGCAGGACGGGCGACCCGCCGTCTGATGCTCTCTGTTTGACTTTGAGGCGCTGCTTTCATGGACCTCCGCTGCCTGCACCAAACCTCCCGACCGTCTGAGATTTCGGGGGAAACGAGGACGTAACGAATGAACCAGATTCTGTTAAACAAAGCAAAAGTTTCTGATCCTCTCACACAAACAGTTTCTCTTTAATCAGCTCTGTTTTAATCCTCCTCGCTGCCTCTGGTATTATCCTCCACATTGTTACCGTTTTCCTCCTTTTGTTCTTGTCCTAATTTTGCTCCTTTAAGTGCAAATTATTAGCACAGCTTTAAAAAAGTCTCACAGGGTCTGCCTGTCGTTCTGTCTGCGGTCTAACCGGCCTCGTGTTGTTTTTATCATCACAACCAAAATGTTTCCACACATGACACAAACTGAATCTGATGCCCGTCCACAGCAGCGGACACGCCGGACGCCCACCGCGGCAGGAACCAGCCATTCTACACAATAACTGCACATTTATAAAAGTTCAGTGCAGAACGGCATGCTGGGTAATTACAGCAGTGTATTTGAACCAGTGAAGGTAAAAACAAAATGTTTAACAGCGCCTCGGAGCCGGTGCACGCTCTCGGGTTCTGGATGTTTGCTGATGTTATCTGATTGGTGCAAACTCGTGCCGGGGGATTCGCGTAGCGGTACCTGCAGACGTGTTCATGCTTCGTTGTTCCAGCTGTCACTTCTGGCTGCGGTTCGAGGTTTTCCAACACGGCGTCAAACTTCAGTCGTCACTGCTCAGCAGCATCGTCGCTCACCTGGAAGGCTTTTATTGTGAAACGCTGGCAGGAAGTGTGAATCCTGAGCATGCTCACAGACTCGGATCGTTATCATTACTACTGTGATCACTGTGGTTTCCAGGGAAACTCGGGGCTGGGCTTCAGCATCGCAGGCGGCACCGACAACCCTCACATCGGTGAAGACCCCAGCATCTTCATCACCAAGGTGATCCCCGGAGGAGCGGCGGCGCAGGATGGACGGCTCAGGTGAGGCAGCAGGAAACTGTTTGTCGGTGAAGGAGGTTGACTGATGTCTGAGCGGCTCCTTCTATTTTTGATCCCTCTGTCACCTCATTAGAGGAGGGCTCAGATTTTCTTTTAAACTGAAAACCAGCATCTCCTACAACACCCAGAATGCTTTGCAGCAGTTCCTTCCAGGCTGCTGCTTTACAGCGTAGCTGCTGTGGAGGACAGGCTGTTAAGCTGATCAGGGAGCAGTTAGTGGGGACAGAGGGAACAACATGTGACTCACACAGCTTTCTAACACTAACCTTTCTAAGATCACAAACTTTATGAGCTTTCACTTTTTACCGGCTCAGCTTGAAGCTGGCCTGACGGATTCGGCCTGGTATAAAAACATGTAGCGAGAGAAGGACCTCTGTCCCTCGGTCTGCGTGGTGGTGTCCTCACAGCCGGACCCCCGCTGTGCCCTGCGGCCTTTCATGGCTCATTCATAATGTAGAAAGTCTGTCACACCTGATCCAGGTGATGATGATGAGGACGAAGAGTACGGTCTCAGGTTTCCTTTAAACTGTTTGTAAGTTTGGATCCGTAGTTTGACTCTACTTCCTGCTTTAGCTCCAATAAATGAAAGAATAAAAGCTGTGACATCATCAGTTTCTATTGAAGCAGGTGACCTGACTGACACGCTGTGTTCACGCTCTGTTTCAGGGTCAATGACGTCATCCTGAGAGTCAACGAGGTGGATGTTCGGGACGTGACCCACAGCCGAGCCGTGGAGGCGCTGAAGGAGGCGGGATCTCTGGTCCGACTCTACGTCCGCAGGAGGAAACCCGTCTCAGAGAAAGTGATGGAGATCAAGCTGGTGAAAGGACCCAAAGGTAGCGTGTAGGCTTAAACTGTGCCTGCGCTCAGATCCGGCGCCCTGTCTGAGCGCAGGCTCATTATTAAACCTGTGAGTGTTCCTAATGTTTTGGCTCACGGCTGCAGCTCTGTGCAGATGGCGTGGATGTGTGTCGGCCGTGTTGCTGGATTGTCTCCGCTTGCTGAGGAGCTTTAGTGAAATCCCCGCGGGCCTCATGATTATTCAGACGAGGAGCCCGGCTCAAGAACAAAGCCTCGGTTTCCACGGAAACGTCCTGAAATATGCTTCTGTGCATTTATGTGTCCTGATTCGTTCCCGTGTTAAACCAGCAGCGGCGCGTTTCGTGGGGTGGTTGTTATTTAAAGTTTGTCCCTGTGAAGGACGCTCAGGCGTCGGAGCTAGACTCCAGAGTTTGAGGGTTTTTACCCAGAATGCTTCAGAGTTTTCCCGTCTGATCACCCTGCACCCTCCTTCTGGTTCTTTGTGTTGCAGGTCTCGGCTTCAGTATAGCGGGCGGCGTGGGGAACCAGCACATCCCCGGCGACAACAGCATCTACGTCACCAAGATCATCGAAGGCGGAGCGGCTCATAAAGACGGGCGGCTGCAGATTGGAGACAAACTGCTGGCTGTAAGGATCAAACACGAGAAATCACATCAGACGAATTATTTATTTAAACTAAAAGAGTAAACACGAGAAAGTCAAACAGAGTTACAAACATTCAGTGCAATAAAATAATCAAGAAAAGCTCTGATGACATTATTTATGAGACCTAATAAAGACTCAAATTTGAAACCAGTAAAATTAGAAATAATAATTAAGACAAGCTTAAACTTATGACATGAAGTAACTGCAGGAAAGAAATAATAGAAGTAAAGACGACTAAAAGTAGAAAAATATAAATAAAAAACAAAAATAGACCCGTAAAAAAAATCATCAATAGACACACAAGACAGAATACTGTATTTGAAAAAAGAAGCACAATTAGAAATTAATTAAAATAACAATAAGAACAGAAATGGGCAGATTAAAGGAAAGAGCTGGAAGTTAACATAAAATAAATAAAATATTTAAAACAAAAATTCAATTAAAACCTTTTAAATAATCAATAAACCAAAAAGAACTCAAAGAAAATGTTAATTAAAACCAATAAAGCCTGATTTAAATAATAAAAATAAAACAAACAAATTACATTATTTTAAAAAAGGAAAAAAATGAGACTAATAAAAGTTAAATATAATAAAAGCAGGTTAAAGGTCAGCGAGTTAATAAAATAAATTAAAATAAAGTAAAATATTTCTGATAAACAACCAACACGTGTATAAATAGTAGAAACAGGTTTCAGTGCTAACGAACAAATAAAGTTTTAGATCTGCAGTAAAAACAGGAAGTTGCTGAGTAGACGGTGAAGAACGAGCACCATGAATATTTCTGAGGTTTTAACAATAAGATAAAGTTTCACCCTTATAACATTTTATAATTATAAACATATAAAATGTTTCATTAAGGGAAGACGCGCTGAATCTGCGGTGCAGGCGCACCTCACCACAAACTACCAAACAGCAGACCTTCAGAATAAAAGCACAGGCGTGTCTGACCGCTCCTCTCTTGGTGTGTCCGCGTTCAGGTGAACAGCTCCTGCCTGGAGGAGGTGAGCCACGAACACGCCGTCACTGCCTTGAAAAACACTCCCGACGTGGTCTACTTGAAAGTGGCTAAACCCAACAGTGTCTTCATGAACGACAGCTTCGCTCCGCCCGACCTCACCAACTGTGAGTGCAAACACACACACCTGTGACCTCACCACTAAAGTTTGCTTCTGTGTTTGCAGCTGAAGAGAGAAACGTTTTGATGCTGCGGTCGCGTTTCACTTTGTTCTGGATTCAGGCTTCCAGAAACAGTTGGAAAACCCATAGTTGAAAACTTCCCTGGACTTTTTATCCTGAATTGTTTTCCGTTTTAAGATCTTCCAGATAAATGAGGTCTCGCATAAATCAGCTGACCTGGTTTTGAGTTAAAGGTTTCCCTGTGAGTGTCGGTTTTCTGGAGTCCCGGCTGAAGGCTTGTTTGTTTGTCTTGAATGCTGCGGTGGATTTTTGCTCTGACATCGAGCAGATTAGAAGGTCCTGGCTCATGTGGTCAGGATGACATCCGACCCTGAGCCGGTGTGGACCGCCGCAGTCTCTGATGATCAAGTGGGGCGGGGATTCGTCAAACGACACGCCTCAAAGTGCAGACGAGGCCGGTTCCTTTAAAACATTTCTCTCTGAACCGGCAGCTTTAGCAGGGATGAAGACGGCCCAGCTCTGAACCTTGTTTTTAGATCTCTCACTTCGCTGCAAATTACAGGAAGCGCTCTGAAACTGTAATACTGCAGGACAAACCTGCATCCCGGAGACTCGAAGCTGGCACCGAGCTGTTGAGGAGATGCCAAAGAAGGAAACACCCCTCAGAGATGCTGCGCGTCAGGCTCCTCGGCTATAGAGACCGAGGAGCTCCAAGCAGCTGTGGAGGATCCGGAGCCGAGGAGAGACTGATGGGAACGCACAGGAAGACACGGAGGCTGCAGGAAGTGTTGCACGTTATAATCTGAGTAATCATCCTTAAATCTAACACAGACTCTGAGCCGAGCAGGCTGGTGCTGGTTTGAAGCCAAACGAGGAACGAGCACAAAATATCCGATCCCGAGTCGCGGAAGAACGATGTTTGGCAGCTCGGCTCTCACAAACGCCACCAGGTGCCTCAACTCATCCATGTGAAACACAGACTCCCTAAAACTGAGTGCTGACAGCTATGATTATATCTGAGGTTTGGGCCACAGTCGATCAGCTGTTCAGCTTCTGAGTTTGTGTCTAAACCGAGTCGTGGACCAACGACGCCCTTCGTCTCCTGCAGTGGCAGGAAAACCATCGCTCTGTTAATTATGCAGGGACGTTATTTGTTTAACCTCCTGAAGTCTCCGGGGGAGTGTCCTGTTCGTGGAGAGAACCGTTTCCGATCAGACGAACATCAAACTTTCAAATGTTTTTAAAAATGGAGACGAATGGAAACTATTTTCAGGTTTCATCCTCTCGGTGCTGCTGTCACAGATCATAATAAACCGACTGCGTGTTCATCGTCTCTGTCATCGCTCTGATGCTGCGGTTACAGCTGATCCTCAGCAGAAACGTGACAGGCTTGAGTTGGGAGGTGGTTGTTTCTCGCTCACCGGTGTCGTTTACGACCCCCCTCGACGGCTGCCGGCCTCGGCCAATCAGGTGGTTACAGGAGCCGGACAGGCGAGCAGATGCAGCAGCTCAGCGTCAGACACACAGCGGCTGTGATCAGACTGGTTTTAATGGTCTTCTCTCTTTCTCTTCCAGCGTACTCCCAGCGCATGGAGAACCATATCAGCCCCCCCAACTTCCTGGGTCAGCCCGTCCCTCCGCCAGCATCCTCGGGGCGTTACTCCCCGACCCCGAAGAGCACGCTGGGAGACGACGACGTCACCCGGTGAGAACAGAAACGCTGCACGCGCACGCCTGCACTGAAACGTTTCAGTGTTTTTGTAGCTGAACCACAGCTGCTGCGCCCTCTGCTGGTGCACACCTGCAGTTACGCCCTCCACCCTCCCGTCATAACACACACCTGCAGAGTCTGAGTGGGACCCTGCTCACATGACTTCAGATGATTGACGGCTGCAGTGTTTTTTTTTCCTGCAGGGAGCCGAGGAAGGTGGTGCTTCACAGAGGAGCGACGGGACTAGGCTTCAACATCGTGGGCGGGGAGGACGGCGAGGGGATCTTCATCTCCTTCATCCTCGCCGGAGGACCTGCTGACCTCAGCGGAGAGCTGAGGAAAGGAGACCGACTCGTCTCCGTACGTAACAACGCGTTAAACTCTGAGATCAACAACTTAAACCAGAGTGTCTGTCTGAGTCAGTGATGAGTCGCTGCCGGTCGCTCGCCACACGCAGGCAAACACGCGGTTGACTTTCAAATTAAAAGCTGCACCTTTAGAGAAGTGCTGGATCAGACTGAGCCGCTCGTTTCCCCGATTGAGTCGTTGTTCCGCGTCTGACATTGTTTTTGTGTTTTCAGGTGAACGGCGTGGACCTCCGTAACGCCACCCACGAACAGGCGGCCGCCGCCCTGAAGAACGCCGGGCAGACAGTGACCATCGTCGCCCACTACAGACCAGAAGGTGGGACAGCAGCACGCACCTGCAGGATCACATGAATCCAGCAGCAGCTTAAACAAAAATAACTACATTTAAGTATATTTACAGTCGGGTGTGAGCAGGAAAGGGAACAAATCCTCTGCATTTAGCAGCTGGTATCAGAATATTTGGCCGTTTGATTATTTTCACTTTAAAATGATTGATTATTAATCCAGCTGTTCACAGATGTTTCAGCTCTGATCTCTGTGGGAAACTGAAACCAGCAGTCATCTCTGATTTTACCAGAGAAACAGTCCAGTTTAAAAAGTTTCAGATTCTGTTTGGCTTCATAAAAATCTTCCGTAGAGACTCTAACGTGTTTCTGTAATTTCCTGTGACCTCTGACCCCTGGATGGCCTCTGTGTCCGCTCAGAGTACAGCCGGTTTGAGGCAAAGATCCACGACCTGAGGGAGCAGATGATGAACAGCAGCATCAGCTCGGGCTCTGGGTCTCTGCGGACGAGTCAGAAGAGGTCGTTGTACGTCAGGTAGGCCTAAAGCGTGGAAGGCGCTCGCGTGCTGACGTCCTGTGTTCTGTTTTTAATCGGTTTGTTTGTCGTTCGTGTTTTAGAGCTCTGTTCGACTACGATAAGACGAGAGACTCCGGTCTGCCGAGTCAGGGCCTGAACTTTAAGTTCGGAGACATCCTTCACGTGGTGAACGCCTCCGACGACGAGTGGTGGCAGGCGAGGCAGCTGACGGCACAGGGAGAGGTGGAGGAGGTGGGGGTCATCCCCAGCAAGAGACGGTCAGTCCCAGTTACATCTGCTCCACCAATCAGGATTCAGAGCTCTGCTCACAGCTCGAGAGGACGTTTGGCTGGAGTTTGTAACTTTATTTAAACAAACATGCGGGTCGCACCTGTACAGGTGTCTCTGTGACGAACGAGAGCTTCACAGTGACGCTCTGAACATTTACCAGGTGACCTCCGAGGGCAGAGTTAGACTGTAAGGTCAGGATGTCGTCAGAGACTCCAAAGGCAAAACCTTCCAGTTTCTGGAGGAACGCTCGCGGAGTGGCGGCAAGCTGCCGACTCACTCGATTTGCCCTCGAGCTCTGAGGCGGAGCTCATCGCGAGTATCTGACAGATTCATGCATAAAGTCTGGTTCCCTTGTGATCTCTGCTGACCTTTGACCTTTCCCACAGGGTGGAGAAGAAGGAGAGGGCGAGGTTAAAGACGGTGAAGTTTAACGCCAAGTCTCGGGACAGAGGGGTGAGTGACGGCGTAGACGGTCCCTGGAGTCAGAAACGTGTTTTAGTTCCAGTAACGCGACTTTATTTACACACAGACGTTTTTCTGTTCTTTGTATTTAAGCTGTAAAACATTTTTTATTGCTTTTATTGTCTGTTTGATTTCTGCGTCTTTAAAGATGCTCAGTTTTCCAGACTCGACCTGATAGAACGAGTCGGACTTGTTTAGACTTCAGTGACTCGTCCCATCTGATGCTCTCAGGATCAGCCGACTTTAATTTCCCCGCAGTGACGTGTAGCGTGCAGGTTAGTGAAGCCATGCGCGGTGTTACCTTCGTACAGGCAGTTGAAGTGCGCGCGTGTTTGGGCCGTTGTGACAGACTTCAGTCTGTTAGCTAACGACTCGGTTTTAGGGTTTTCATCAGTTACCGGACGTTACTGGATAAGTCCGTCTGCGCCGCCCGCCTTTTTTGAAACCCGGCAGTGAGGGAAATGGCTGCCCGCGGCGCCCGCCACCTCGAGTGTGACGGGTGCTTGTTTTTCTGACCTTCCCCGAGCGTCGGCGTGTCGCACTTTAAACTGCACCAGATTCATTCGTGTGAAGGTGAAACGTGTTTGAATAAAGTCGGCTGATTCTGAGCTGGTTGATGACACGTTTCAGGTGTTTGACGCCAGCTGTGTGCGTCATGTGACCTCTGTGTGTTTGCGCCACAGCCACCTGATCTCCACCTACTAATGAGTGTTTGACTAATGTTGAAGCAGCCGGCCGTTTAACAGCATGACGATCTCTGAGGCGTTTCTTCTTCTTCACCAAATCGCAGCAGCGCCTCCCCCTCCCTCCCCCGCCACCTTTAAACCGTGTGCCGCTTTAGTACGTGTCGCCACGGCGTTGCTCGCCAGCCGCCACGCTAACACAGCAGACTGAGGGCGGGGAGGCAAACCGTAGAACATGCATGGTGCCCGCGGTCTGCTCCCCGCCTCTCCGCGAAACGCTTGACATTGACGTCTGCTGCTCTCAAACCTTCCTCCTCCTCCTCCTCACCACTCACCCTCCTCACCCTGTTTTCCGTCTCCTGCTCTGTAACATCAAAGTGCAGCATGTGAGCTAATGATGTCACAGGTCCCGCCTCCTGCTGATGAACGACACGCAGCGGTTCAAAGGTCTGCTTGTTCTTCTTGTCGAGCCATTAAACCCAGTTATAGTTGAACTAATCAATAACTTGAACACAGACCTTTTTAGGCCCTTTCAGCTCCTGGTTTTGGTTTTGTGTCATCGCACAAGCTTGAATGAACCCACTGAGACCAAGCTGTTACCATAGTAACAGACAGTTAAAGGAAAAGGGACACGACTCTGTTCTGTGTTTGGCTTCTATACATAAATGTAGGTTTAGCGTTCGTAGCCTCAACTAATCAATCTTTGCAGCCATGAGGTGGTGGAGACCAACAATGGAGCTGAAAGAAGGTGGATGCCGGACTCAGACTGCAGCTGCCGGCGCTTTTTAAATAAACCTAATATTTGTTGGTTGGTTGCCATGACATCAGCCGATATCGTTTTGTTATAGCCTCACATCTGGATGAGTTTATTTTAAATATCAGTGTTAACCCCACAGTAACCTTTACAGCCTGACTGGTGACGTCACGCTTTCATTTACACTTCAAGACAAACGAAATGCAAAAGCTTGAAGCTAAATTTAAGCTTCAGAGAAGTCCAAATGAAGAAACCACGTAAAGCTGAGAAGGCCTCTGAGCCCGACCCACAGGACGTTTGTAATCCTGGGGTTTGTAGCACCAGTGTTTCCTCAGTGCTACACGAAGGAACATAAATGCTCTGTGGAACGACTTTTCCTGATGCACTTGAAGGCATCGCATCAGCACCATCTTCGAGCCGATTCGCCGAAATAACCAAACGGCTTCTCCCAGCTTGTCGCTGCTGTGTCTCTGCATGTCATCAGCATGTTCACCTTCATCCTCCTCCTCTCCGACCGACGCTGCCTTCACTGTCGGCGTGTGAAGCGGGGCGTCAGAGCAGGTTGCGTTCAGGGTCGGGGCCTCTGTGTCCGAATGTTTTAGTTTAAACTTCGCGATTTTTGTGTTTAATGTTGAAACTGTGAGCCGGTCAGACGCAGACTCAGACACCCATCACACCCCCTCATCTCCTTCTCTTCCTCCTCTGTTTTTGTTTTACTCCATCACCCCTCCTCCTCCTCTTCCTCAGCAGTCTCTCAATGACAAGCGTAAAAAGAACCTCTTTTCCCGAAAGTTTCCGTTCTACAAGAGCAAAGAGGCGAGCGAGCAGGAGACCAGCGATGTCGACCGTAAGTACCAGCGCGGGGAGGCGGGGCGGGCGGTCTGAAAGGAGATTGGCCGGCGACAGGAAGAGAGATCAGGTGGCGACGGCGTGCTGAGCGCGCGCTGGTCGTCACCGCTGCAGGGCGTGGCCGCGCTCGTGCGATCTGATTAGAAGCCGTTTCTAAAACCTGAAACCAGAGCCAACATGGCCGCCCTGCAGCGGCGCCCCGGCGGCGTTCCCTCTGCTCTCTCAGTCTGTCGCTCTGTCAGTAACTGTGTCTGTGGTTGTTTTCCCTCCTTCCTTCACTCGGCTCTGCTGCTGCAGGACAACAGCGAGGACGTGCTGTCCAAAGGACACAGTAAGTCTCTCCCCAACACCCCCTCCCCCAAAACTCCCATCAGCCTCTTCGGTCTCCACCAGCGTCCTCCGGAGAGCTCCGCTAAATAACCAGAGCGTACAGACGCCGCTCGCTCTACAAGCGAGTTTATGAGTTGTGAGCGCGAGCATCCTAAAACCTCTGGGGGCGGAGCTTTACGCCGCCCGATTTGTATTTGAGGTTTATTCTACTGGTTGTTTGTTTTGAATTAAAAGCAGCTTCGTGTTTTTAGAGCAGACGACTTTATTTTGTTTTTGTGACGTAAAATCAGACGAAGCATCAACGACTCCTGATCAGCCTTTGATCAAAGTGATTATTCAGATTTTAAATGATGTTCATAAAACTGCATGTGGGACCAAAACTATCAAATAAAACTCAGAAAACCACAAAAACCAGTCAAACACGTAACAGAACCAGCGGGTTCAAAGTTCCCGACTGACAGGAGCTCTGATCCGGATCAGTTTGTTATATTTCATCCAGAACATGAAGATAAAATCTCAGTTTTTCTTATTTCAGTGAAGGCTGCTGTCGGCAGGCCCGGGTCAGCGCGTTTAGTTTTAATGCTGTAAAAGACGCTAAACTGAAGAGTCTGATGATGGTTCCTGGTGGAGTCTGAGACCCCTCCCCCTCCTCTTCCTCACCACAGACCCTCGTGGATCCTTCAGGCCGGCGCTCTTCACTCTGGCCACGAGTTTCCGCTCTTCATCTCTCACGAGACCTTTGTTTTTCTGTTTCATGGCAAATGTGTACAAGTTACAGGAAGCTCTAAAAGCTGAACACGGCGACCGATACGAGCAGATCTGAAGCAGAGCCGCTCGCTCAGTCATCGGGAAATTAACCCGCCCACAAACACGGCTGATCGATAAACCAGGGAACATTTTTAGTTTTGGTTAAATTACAGTTTAAAATGTGTGTATTCAGGTCTTGATGGTGTTTCCAGATGTTTGTCCAGCTGACGATCTAAAGAAAACGTTTAATATCCCAGAAAAAATCTGATTTTATTTTCTTATCTGAATATGATCATCAGCGAGCTGAAAACACAGACTGTATATAAAGGAGGGAAGCGTCTTAAAGCTGCGTTCTTTTTAACGGCCAGCAGGGGGCGATGCTGTCCTGGTGAGTTTGTGGTCTCAGTCTTTAGTTTTAAGTCTTACTGAGTGAAACGTGATATTTATTTAGTTAATTTTGGTCTAATTAAAATGTTTAAAAGGTGATGGAGGCGAAGTCGCTGCCCGCTGAGTGCGCCGTGTCCCTCAGTTCCCTCCCTGGTTTAGCCTAAATCGCTCTGCTCGAAGCAAACGGATGATGTCATGGTGGCTGCTTCCATCGTTTATATACAGTCTGGTTTTATCCACATCGCCCAGTTTTCAGAGTCGAGTCTTTGAACGTGAGGCAGTTATATTTGGATCTGAGGTCAGGGAAGACTCCTGGGAAGTTTGGGAAATGTTTTAAATGTGTCCATTATTGGGCTGAAAAGAGTCGGACGGTGGTTGTTGCTGTGATTGATCTGCCGCCTCGAGTCCCCCTGCGTGATCACGGCTCGGGGCAAAGCATTGTGGGACGGCGATGTGACCTGTCGTGTCCTGTTTGTGTTGTGATTCCAGAACACGTGACGTCTAACGCCAGCGATAGTGAGAGTAGCTACCGTAAGTGCCGCTCGATGACTCGCAGGAAACACTAACGATCGGCGCGACCTGTCACTGAACCCGCTAACTCCCTCACTGACGCCGTTAACGAGCACAGACTGCCGATTGGCCAGTAACAGCATGACCTCACACCCTCACAGTCTGCCCCTCCCCCCGCTGCTGCATGGACGCTGCCGCCTCGCAGAGAGCGACTCTTTCAGCCGCACCGCACACCGAGCATGTCGGCACAGTTCACTGATTTCATGAAGCCACTATAAAAATATTCCACCTTAAAACTGGAAACCAGAAACGCACAGCATCACCTGTAACCCAGCGAGCGCTGCAGACTCGGCTGATGTTGTGAGAGCACTGTTATGAACCATTAACGGTTAAAAACGAGCTCAGCGAGCAAACCCGATCAGAGATAAAGGCTCCTTTAAACATGGAATCGGATCAATCTGAAGCAGCACAGCAGTGGGAGTGAAAGCCCGCAGGCTGAGCTGCGACTGCAGCAGAAAACCTCCGATACCCCGAAAATAAAGATGAGGCACAGGTGTAGAACGCCAGGCCTCGAGGTGTCCTGCAGGTTTTAGGTATCACCTGAATCCAGTGATTACTTCATGACCAGGCCTCTGGAGAACTTCAAGACATGTTGAGGAGGTCATTCAGCCATTTAGATCAGCTGTGATGGATCAAGGACACGTCTGAAACCTGCAGGACTCCGGCTCTCTGGGCCTGGAGTTCCCCGCCACTGACGTAAGGTGACCGCGGCTCACACAGCTCAGATTAAACAAGCATGAGTATGTGAGGAGTCGCGGCGTTTGTGCATGCTGAAAATTGGATCGTGAGCTGTTAGACGTGCAGACGTCAAAGTCGGCGGCGTCTCCGATTCCAGAGCCGTAACTGAAACTGTTTAAACGCTTTCTGCTGCCGTCGCCGTTCTCTAACGGGAGAATTTTAGTTCCTGAGCACACTCATGTAATCCCGCAGGTTCAGACTCCGCCTACTAACCAACCTCAGTAGATCCCATCCTCCCTCCTCTCCTCCGTCTCTCCTCCTCTTCACCTTCATCACACCTCACTCCCGTCTGAGCTCCGGACGCTGAAACTAACCGACCTCTGTGTCTCCAGGTGGGCAGGAGGAGTACGTGCTGTCCTACGAGCCCGTCGTTCAGCAGGAAGGTGAGACATCTCTGTGTTCGCTTAGCTTTCTTTTTTTAAAGTAATCTGATTACCACAGGCAGCACTCAGGCGTTCCTGCATATTCGACATGCGTCGATTCTGTCCCACAGTGAACTACACCCGCCCCGTCATCATCCTCGGCCCCATGAAGGACCGCATCAACGACGACCTGATCTCAGAGTTCCCCGACAAGTTCGGATCCTGCGTCCCTCGTAAGTCCGCCGAACGCCTGTAAACAGCGGCTGCGTTGTACGCTCGTGTCACCTGATGTTTAATGCTGACCCCGCCCGCAGACACGACCCGGCCGAAGCGGGACTACGAGGTGGACGGCAGAGACTATCACTTCGTGATCTCCAGAGAGCAGATGGAGAAGGACATCCAGGACCACAAGTTCATCGAGGCGGGGCAATACAACAACCACCTGTACGGGACCAGCGTGCAGTCGGTCCGGGAGGTGGCGGAGAAGGTAATGGCGACACGCCCCTTTGACCTTTAACCCCGCTCTGACCTCATTCAAGCGGCGGCGTGTGGTTTGAGATGTTCTCCTGCTGTTTTCAGGGCAAACACTGCATCCTGGACGTGTCAGGTAACGCCATCAAGAGACTCCAGCTGGCTCAGCTCCACCCCATCGCCATCTTCATCAAACCCAAATCTGTGGAGAACATCATGTGAGTCACTTCACAGGAAACGCCTCCACTCAGTTCTCCCACACGAGCGTGAAGGTGACGTGGTTTTTCTCTGCAGGGAGATGAACAAGCGTCTGACGGAGGAGCAGGGCAAGAAGACCTTCGACCGAGCGAACAAGCTGGAGCAGGAGTTCACCGAGCATTTCACAGGTGAGTGCCCTGGCTCCACCCGCCTCAGCTCAGGTGATTCTCCACCCGCGCCGTCAAAACCACGTTACAGTCTCGCATGTGGTTCCTCTCTGCCCCCTGCTGGTCACGTGCTGGAGCTGCACCTCAACATTAGTGCAGCAGACGGGAGGAAATGGCGAGTCTTTGTTTGAGACGTGACGTTTTAAATTTGGCTGATCTCCTCTTCGAGGTCGTGTCCTCGTGCACCTCTGCGAGCGTGCATCCTGATGGATGTTCCTCACGCAGACTGGCGCTATACCACCCTGCCGGGACCTTTAATAACGAGCAGAAATGGCGCCGCCTTATCAGAGAGCAGGAAGTCCGAGAAATGAGCTCGAAGGATCGATCAGCCAGGTTTAAATACGTTTGTAGTTTTATTTTTATGGGCGGAGCTTTTAACCCTTTAAGACCTACCATAGAACAAGTCTGCCTGAGCTTGTATTATAGTTTTACATGCTGTGGAGCCATTTTTGGGAGCATTTCAAGTTGCTATACATCAATACAACCATTATAGCCCAAATTTTAATAATATGTCTGCATTAAGTGCATAGTAATTACATAAATTGCAAAAAAGTGCAATAAACTACAAACAAATTGAAAATCATTTTTGATTTTTTAACACATATTTGTAGTTAGAGAAATTTAAGAGGCTTATCCCTCAAAACTGTAAATACAAAAAAGTTGCACAAAATAGTTTCCTACCACAGGAAATTTATTTTGAGTGTCTTCATAGTTTTATTTTTGAAATACACCAATTTCTATACACTGCAGGAAAAACGAAAATAAATATTATACTGCAAATTTTCAAAAAAGCAGCATATGCATCAAAATAAACTATTTCCAGCAGTGCAATATGAGTCCTCAGCATCCCAGAAACGACACAGAGAGTCATAAAGTCAAACATAACTTTTAAAAAGAGCAGTATAGGCCCTGAGGCCCTGATAGTAAAAAAAACTACATTTCCGCGAAAATGACGTCACTTCCGGTTTCGGGCAGGTAATGGCGGAAATGCAAAAGTTCGCGCTGACGTCTATTCCAACGTAGGAAGTGTTACGAACAGCTGATTGGATCGGTAAAGCGTGTTTCTGGAATATTATGTTTTTGTTCCTGCAAGCGCTTTTTATGCAGTTTTTGCAAAGCTTTATGTGGAAGGAAACCGTGACCGAGGACAAGCTGATGGCATAAGATGTAAGTACAACTCCTCCGGTTTCATATGCAAAAAAAAATTTTGCGCTAGCTCACGTGGTTGCAGAGCTACCGGGATTTAAAAATAGTTACGCAAAACAGAGCGTGCCCGCTCCGATCGGCTGTAAAGGGTTAAACTTCGAGATGAAAGGAGTGTTTTGATTGGTTTCAGACACAAGCAGCGCTCTGACACGTCCACAGCACTAATGACATCACAGCTGATGCAATCATAACTTTATTTACCAACATTTAAAAACGATAATAAACGTCAGCGGAGTCGGGATGAGTGATGTACAGGTGGGCTGTGCCCGTCTGTGATGATGTCACGCGCTCGCCGCTGACTCTGCTCTGTGTGTGTGCAGCCATCGTGCAGGGCGACACGCTGGAGGAGATCTACGACCAGGTGAAGCAGATCATCGAGGAGCAGTCGGGTCCCTTCATCTGGGTTCAGTCCAAGGAGAAGTTATGAAGACGGCCGCTCCTCCTCCTCGTTTTGACGGACGAGTCGACCTGCAGACGTCCCCTCCCCCACGCCTCACCCTCCACTCGCCCCATCAGCGACGCAGCGGCCGACCCGAGTTCAGTTTAGCTTCTTTTCTTTCTTTCTTTGCCTGATAAGACTTCATGTTTGGGTTTCCTGACCAGCAGAGCAAAGCACACAGGAAGTTTGATGACATCACACTCACCGCGGTACAGCTCCTTAATGTTTAAGGGAGGAGAACTTTAGAGGAGACGAGGAAGGTACCTGGAAGTGACGAGAAGAAACGTACGAAGTGGATTTTATGTTTAGTTTTTTCTTTGTGGGTTTTTTTTCCCTTTTTTTGTCTTGTAAGGTAAGCTGGTGGGCGGAGTTTCAGTCTCAGGCAGCGTCTGTCGGTCCGGAGGAGGCGGAGACACAAAAAGCAAAACTTTGCACGTTTGAGCTTTAACAGCATGTCAGTTAATCCCGTTTATTTTCCCATCAGCCCCGTCGCCTCACGTCTGATGTCACCGCTTTTCTCTTCTGCTCGTTTTTTAGACTCTACTCACGTTTCGTTTGTTTTTTATTTTCGCTCCTCGCTGCTGCTGGATGTTCGTCAGGACGCTGCGAGGTTCCTGCTCTGCTGCTAGAGGGCGCCCAAGGGTTAACGAAGGAAAACGACAAGTTCCTTACTTTGTTTTTAAAGGAAACGGTTTTAACATTTATAATTTTCTGTCGATGAGAAAGAATCTGACAGATTTTCTGATTTCAGGGATGAAAAAATAAAAGCTCTGTTTCTGCAGACGTCGAATCGTTTCTCACCAAACCACCGAGACAGAGACAGAAAAGTATAAATATTTTTATAGATGAAAATAAGCTGAGTGCAATCATCAAAAATTATAAATCATATCTATAAAAAATATTTTATTCATTAACGTGTTTAATTTCACTAAAACACCAAATGCAAGACAGAAATTCCCAAATATGTTTATTTTATTACCAGAAAAATCTCAATATTAGAAATAACAAAAAAATCTAATAAAATCAAACTATTTTATTTTACTAAAGAAAATTATCTCAGAATTTTATGAAACTCTGATTATGCCAAATATGGTTTATGATAAAATCTAATTTAAGATAATTAAATATTAAAATCAAGAAAAATGCTACAAACATTTTCCGCCTGTTAGAAAAACTGCTCATAATTAATGAACAGATTTTTATGAAAGATCCGGAACATCAAGGAAAAAATAATCTAATACAAAAAGAATTTGAATCACCAGAAAATGCAAAACAAATTAAATTGTTTTAACTTAAATTAATTTAGAAAAGCGTGAAAATTTTAAGTTTAGAATAACTTAAAATCCCAAATCCGTATTTTACTTACAAACGCACCAGAATCACAGGACAAAAGATTTCTTAATATTTTATTATTACCCCTAAAATCTTAAAAGTAAAGATTTTATTTTACCAAAATATAAAACAGTGAAACAAGAATTATAATAACTTTTATTACAACAATCTATTTTATTATAATGACATTATAACTGTAACACTTATGAAAAACTAAAAATATTTAAAAGCACGTCAGAGCTGCAGGACAACACGAAGTAACGCCGACGTTTACGAGCGTCTCGTGAGATCTGAACTCCTGATTTTAGATTCTCTTCAGCTGATTTTTTTTAAAATTCTGGTCTCTTTTCTCACTTGGACAAGTCCACAGTCACGTGACGCAGTGGCGCCCTCTGCAGTTAGAACCCCGCCGGTCGTCGCGGTGACGTCCATCAGCGTCGCCAGTGTCTTACCACAAAAACGATGTCGATCATGCGATTCGCGCGGCGAGCCCGGAGACGAGCTGCCACCTCCAGGCGTCCACAGGTGTCGGAAACACGATTATTGTACAATGAGATTTTGACAGATATTTAACCCTCGGTAAACTGCCTATTTTGTTATAATAAAGTCTATATTGAACTTTACTTAAGCACTACTACTACGGGAATTATTTTCTTTGCATTGTTAATCATATATGAATAGAAAAGTATAAAGATATTTGAATATGAATATATATTTTTCTTTTTCTTTGATCACCACCTCCTCTGTCTTTTAATTTTCTTTTTTAAGCATAATAAAAACTTAACAAGAAAACCTGTGTGTTCATTTATAAAAGTCACACTTCAGTCGGCCTGCCTGAACACGTGCTGAACGGGTGACGTCCTCCACGACGCCTGAAGATTTCTGAAGAGGAAGAAGAAACCCTCGTCTGTCCCGACGTCACTGAAAAAAGTGCATTTTTATTTGATCTTCAGAGTGACGCTGAAAAACTAGTTCATGCATTTATTACTTCCAGGCTGGACGACTGTAATTCATTATTATCAGGAAGTCCTAAAAACTCCCTGAAAAACCTTCAGCTGATCCAAAATGCTGCAGCAAGAGTCCTGACAGGGACTAGAAAGAGAGCAGATTTCTCCTGTTTTGGCTTCCTGTTAAATCCAGAATTCAAAATCCTGCTCCTCACATACAAGGTCTTAAATAATCAGGCCCCATCTTATCTTAATGACCTTGTAGTACCATATCACCCTATTAGAGCACTTCGCTCTCGCTCTGCAGGCCTACTTGTTGTTCCTAGAGTATTTAAAAGTAGAATGGGAGGCAGAGCCTTCAGTTTTCAGGCCCCTCTTCTGTGGAACCAGCTTCCAGTTTGGATTCAGGAGACAGACACTATCTCTACTTTCAAGATTAGGCTTCAAACTTTCCTTTTTGCTAAAGCATATAGTTTACATCAGGGGTCTCAAACGAGCTGTGGGCCACTGCTGGCACTGTCATCTAATGTGAGGGACACTTTAGTGTTCACATAATGCAAAACAAACAAGAAAACACCCACAAATATTTCCCAAATTTCAAATATTGTATAAGAGGACAAAACTGCTACTGTTAACGTGAATTTTTCTTTTTCCTTCCTCTTAACTGAAGCCTTCAATGAACTACCAAATAAACACATTGGTCCTCTCTTTCTGGCCGCACATGTGGCAGCACTCCTGCTCTCATTTTATTTCTCATTTTTCTACGTAGCGCCGAATCACAACAACAGTTGCCTCAAGGCACTTTCTATTGTGCAAGGCAAGGCAAGTTTATTTGTATAGCACAATTCAACAACAAGGTGATTCAAAGTGCTTTACAGAGACATTAGAAACAAAAACAAATAAAAAGCATGATTTAAAATTGATTAAAACAAGCAAACAAACTAATTAACAAACAAAAACAGTATATAAAATCAAAACAGATAAAATCAGAACAGTAGATAAAATCAGTAGTTAAATGTAAGTTTTGAAATTTAAGCTTAAAAGTGTGGATTTGGTGCTTTATTCAAATGCAGCTGAGAACAGGTGAGTCTTCAACCTGGATTTAAATAAACTGAGTGTTTCAGCTGATCTGAGGCTTTCTGGGAGTTTGTTCCAGATATAAGGAGCATAAAAGCTGAATGCAGCTTCTCCGTGTCTGGTTCTGACTCTGGGAACTGATAAAAGACCGGATCCAGATGACCTGAGGGATCTGGAAGGTTCATACTGGGTCAGGAGGTCACTGATGTATTTTGGTCCTAAACCATTCAGAGCTTTATAGACCAGCATCAGAACTTTAAAGTCTATCCTCTGACGGACAGGCAGCCAGTGTAAAGACCTCAGAGCTGGACTGATGTGGTCCACTTTTTTGGTCTTAGTGAGGACTCGAGCAGCAGAGTTCTGAATGAGCTGTAGTTGTCTGACTGATTTTTTAGGTAGACCTGTAAAGATGCTGTTACAGTAATCAAGCCTACTAAAGATGAATGCATGGACTAGTTTTTCCAGGTCCTGTTGAGACATCAGATCTTTTATCCTTGAAATATTCTTGAGGTGATAGTAAGCTGACTTTGTTATTGTCTTAATGTGTTTTTCTAAGTTTAGGTCTGCATCCATCACTACACCCAAATTTCTCGCCTGGTTTGTGGTTTTTAGATGTATAGATTGAAGTTCTCTGGTGACCTGTAATCGTTTTTCTTTGGCGCCAAAGACTATTACCTCAGTTTTGTTTTTGTTTAGCTGGAGAAAATTGTGGCACAACCAGTCATTAATTTCCTCAATGCATTTACCAAGAGCCTGTACAGGGCCTCGGTCTCCTGGTGACATTGTGATATATATTTGTGTGTCATCTGCATAGCTGTGATAGTTTATTTTGTTGTTGTTTATAATCTGTGCCAGTGGGAGCATGTAAATGTTAAACAGAAGGGGTCCCAAGATGGAACCTTGGGGAACTCCACATGTGATACTTGTCTGCTCAGATGTGAAGTTACCTATTGATACAAAGTATTTCCTGTTTTCTAAGTATGTTTTGAACCAGTTTAGTACAGTTCCTGAAAGACCTGCCCAGTTCTCCAGTCGTTTGAGTAATATGTTGTGGTCAACTGTATCAAATGCTGCACTGAGATCCAGTAAAACTAAGACTGACATTTTTCCACTGTCTGTATTCAGACATATGTCATTAAACACTTTGGTCAGAGCGGTTTCAGTGCTGTGGTTCTGTCTAAAACCTGACTGGAAGGCATCGTAGCAGTTATTCTGTTTTAAGAAGTAATTGAGCTGTTGAGAAACTGCTTTTTCAATGATCTTACTTAAAAATGGGAGATTTGAGATCGGCCTGTAGTTGTTCATTTGTGTCTTGTCAAGATTGTCCTTTTTCAGTATAGGTTTGATTACAGCAGTTTTTAGTGGTTCTGGAAACACACCTGATAATAAAGAAAAGTTGACGATCTGTAACAGGTCTGACTCTAAAGTCTTTGAGACCTTTTTGAAAAAAGTGTACAGTAGATTGTACAGTAGATTCTACAATAATAGATACAGAGAAAAACCCAACAATCAAATGACCCCCTATGAGCAAGCACTTTGGCGACAGTGGGAAGAAAAAACTCCCTTTTAACAGGAAGAAACCTCCAGCAGAACCAGGCTCAGGGAGGGGCGGGGCCATCTGCTGTGATTGGTTGGGGTGACAGAAGGAAGACAGACAGATGACCACATTAAAAACGCAGACATAAATGAACACATTAGCTTTTGACTCTCACTGAACTAACAGCCTATCCCTCTGCGTGTTTGTGTACTCTGCTCATATTGTCTTCCATTAAATCTTTTTTTTTTTAACATTGCACTCAAAAACAAACAAATCCTTCTGAACAAAAAAAGTAACGTCACCCAATATATGGGCCACGAGTTTGAGACCCCTGTTTTACACACAGTATATATTTGGCACTTTATGCTTGATTTTACTTTCAAATATAAAGTGCTTCGAGTTGTTGTTGTGATTTTGCACAATATAAACAGTACAATAATAGATGAGCTGCTCCACCTCCTGAACTACAACCACCTCTGTGGCACTCGGCGCTGTAAGCATGACTAACACGATGTTCATTTTTATTAATGTCTTTATTGATAGAAAGCTTTGCATCACTGCTGCATTCTTTGTTTCATTTATAATATATAAAGCCCATGAATCACATCATTGACTCTAAACTGTACAAAACACTTATGGAAACCATGATGAAGCATTTCATCCAGTGTATTGAGAAAACATCGAAGACCAGAATAAAAACAAAACGCAGTCCCATAAATCAGCCTTTACAGCCTGCGGTCAAAGAATAAGGTTCTCCAACATGGCCTCCAGCTTACTTGACCTACAAGTTTTGTCCTTTAATCTGAAAGAACCAGTCAGTGCTGGTCACTTCAGATTGAAGTCAATCCCTCCTGGTCGAAACCGCGCCGATTCTTCCTGTTTGCTGATGACCTCAAATGTTTCCTCAGCTGCTCCTCTCCTAAGAGGATGCTGTGCGAGAGTCGTGAGCTCTCATGTGATTTTTCCACACCGTCGCATACGTAAATCTTTCCCCGCAGCTATTGCAGGTGTAAGGCTTCTCACCTGTGTGGGTTCTCATGTGAACTATTAGCGGCGGCTTACTGCTGAAACCTTTCCCACACGTTTTGCAGGAATACGGTTTCTCACCTGTGTGGCTCCGCATGTGGACTTTCAGGTAGGAGCTGCTAGTGAAGCTTTTACCGCAGAGATCACAGGCATACGGCTTCTCACCTGTGTGCACAATCATATGTTTCTTCAGATGAGAGGTGCTACTGAACTCTTTTCCACAGGTGTCGCAGGAGTAAGGCTTCTCACCTGTGTGGGTTCTCATGTGGACTATCAGAGGAGGACAGCTAGAGAAATTTTTTCCACACGTTTCACAAGAAAAGGCGCTTTCACCTGTGTGAGTCATCATGTGGTTCTTCAGTCCCGACGAGCGGCTAAATCGTTTCCCACACACTTTACAGGTGTAAGGTTTCTCACCTGTGTGGATTCTCACGTGGGCTATCAGGTGAGTACAGCTTCTGAAACCTTTTCCGCACGTTTTGCAGGAAAACGGTTTCTCGCCTGTGTGCGTTCTCATGTGGACTTTCAGGTAAGCGCGACTACTGAAGCGCCTGGTGCAGGTTTCACAGGCGTACGGCTTCTCACCTGTGTGCGTTCTGATGTGGTCGGCCAAAGTGGAGCTGTGAGTGAAACATTTCCCGCACGTCTCGCAGAAATAAAGCTTTTTACCTGTGTGAGTTCTCATGTGATTGTCCAGCTCTAAAGGGCAGATGAACCTTTCCTCACAGGTGCTGCAGGTGTAAGACTTCTTGTCTCTGTGGGTCCGCCTGTGCAGGAGCAAGCTGACGTTCTTAGTGAAGCTTTTCCCGCACGTCTCACACGAGTACAACCTTTCACCTTTGTGAGTTCTCATGTGACTCTTCAGTCCCGAAGACTGCCTAAATCTCTTTCCACAGGTGTTGCAGGAGTAAGGTTTTTCACCTGTGTGGGTTCTAGTGTGGACGGTCAGCGAGTCACAGCTGCTGAACCCTTTACCACACGTTTGGCAGGAATACGGTTTCTCGCCCGTGTGGCTCCTTGTGTGGATTTTCAGAGACACTGCTTGCCAGAAACGTTTCCCGCAGGTGTTGCAGCAGTGAGGCTTCTCACCTGTGTGGGTTCTCATGTGGCCTATCAGTGACGAGCTGCTGCTGAAACATTTTCCACACAGCTTGCAGGAATACGGTTTCTCCCCTGTGTGGTTTCTCAGGTGGATCTTCAGCTGACCGCTGCGATTGAAACTTTTCCCGCAGGTTTCACAAACGTGAGGCTTCTCACCTGTGTGTATTCTCAGGTGGATTTTCAGATTAGAATTACAGCTGAAACTTTTGCGGCAAAATTCGCATGCAAAAGGCTTCTCGCCCGTGTGACTTCTCATGTGGACTGTCAGCCGATAGTTTCTTCTAAAACTCTGACCGCACAGCTCGCACGTGTACGGCTTTTCGCCCGTGTGGGTTCTTGCGTGAGCTTTCACGTCGAACTTGCGGCTGAAACGTTTTCCGCAGGTCTTACAAGCAAAGGGCTTCTCACCTGTGTGGGTGCGTATGTGAGTCACCAGGTGGAAGTTACTGCTAAAAGTCTTTCCGCACGTTTCGCAGGCGTGAGATTTTTTATTCGTGTGCTCGTCCTTCGTCTGCGACACTGTCTTAAACACTTTTGCGTAAACGCTGCGCTGCACGGACTTCGAGCTACTGTCAGTGTTACGGTGAGACTCCAGAATGAGCTGTTCTTCCTCCCGATTGATGGAAAGCTCCTCCTGTTCCTCTTTCATCTGTTCAGTCTCTGCTTCCTCCTGATTGGTGCAGAGTTCCTCGTCTTCCTCTTTGATCTGTGGCAGCTCTCGCGCTTCCTGATCCTGACTGCAGAGCTCTTCCTCCTGTCGAATGTCTGAAGGACAAAGAGACAAACATGTTATAGATGTGATGACAGTAAAAAAAAATTAAAACCCTTTAGACAATCTTCATCATCGCCATCCATCACAACCGTGGTCTCAGGTGGGACTACTTCACACTCTGCAAGCCATCACAGTGGCTGCTAGAGGTCATTACTCGACCCTGAGACCTCCAGAGAGGACTCCTTCACCCCCCGTCCCCACAACCCAAATTATGAGCAGAATCACTCCAACAGGCGACAAAGTCCAACAATCAGCAGCAAAAAGTCTGATTTGCTGCTGGAAATGCAGCTGAAGAGCTCACTGCTTGAGAGATAAGGTCTCACGAGGAAGACGCAGACCAGCTGGGTAAAGTCCCACCTGTAGCTCAGGAGGTAGAGCAGGTCATCCAGTCTACATGAAAATGCTAAACCCCAAGTTGCTCTTCGACGCAAAAAGTGCTCGTGTGGATCTGAACAGGCTCTCCTGTCCACCACAGATGCTTCCAGGGAGTCTGGATCCAACCCTGCAGACCCTCAGGTGCATTCAGTGGTGGACCAGCAGACTGTAGCGGTGAAGAGAGCACAGCTGGAAGCTAGAAGGTGACCCTGTTGATTCATGTCACTAAGGAAGAGAACATCTGGAAACCTGCAGCCTGAGCCAATGCAGGATGTTTACAGTGAACAGCTGGACTGAATAGTGAGGCAGACTAAATCCAGCTGTTGTTGGCTGTACAGTGTTCGTGTGACTCTTTGGTGGAAGCAGAACTGGGAAGTATGGGAATTTAACCACCATCACTGGCAACCAGGTGTCAAGCAGCTCCGCCCCTGGAAGGGATTCTGTTGTTTAAACAAAGGCAGCTCACGATTGGAGGACAGCATCAGCTGATCCAGCAGCAATACTGAGCTTCCAATTAAAAGTAACTATGGCAACATTTAGGCATGGCCGCAAAAGCTGACGCAGGACGTCCACATAATGACCACGACAGCAAGGCTCGCTGTCACACCGAGCTCTGATTGGCTCCTGCCTGTGCACCCTGCTGATGACACACACCTGTTTACCTGCACACGCTCCTTTTTTCTGAATTTAATGCGGAAAAAATTACTTTTATTTTACTGTAGAATTTCCACCAGTTTACCCACAATGCACTTCTGTAATCAAACAGCCAGGTACCAACTCCTGCTCGTGGATCTGTCACACAGATGTTCACAGCTGGAGAGAGAAACATGGCTCCTGTGGATCTGTCCAGGAGGGAAAAGTCCCGTTCAGTGAGCTGAAGGTTTCACGAGGAGCCGAAACACGGTCGTCAAACCGCGTAAAAGCTGAATCGGCTTTAATGACCCAGCTGCCGCCAGGTGAACCGGAAACATTAAACAGGTGAGCTCAGATTTAACAGCCCACCTGTGGAGAATCCTTTATGACGCAGATCACTCGCTTTCTTTTCTCTCTTTGGCTGCGTCCCAATTCAGGGTCTGCACGCTTGAAGTACGCGCACTACGTACGGTGCGTACTATAAGTACGAGAAGTGCGGAAGTGAGAGGCTTGTGAAATGGGACGGTATACGCTTCGTCGCGCTGTTCAGGTTGCCTAGCAACCATGATACTAACCGCGAGACACGTTTCATACAGCTTTGTGTGACAGAAACGAAGGAGACAAATGTTTTGTTGGTCATTCATTTTTGTCATGACATCACTTTAGTTGAGTATCTGAGGCTGAGACCACGGGACTGTAAACATGATTGTTGGGCTTCATGTCTGTGCTGAACACTCATTTAAGATTAGCTAGTAAATAACAATTAGTTAATGTTGTTCATGAGTGTCACTACCCGATCTGTACCGGAAACCCGATCGGTACCCCGCATGCGCAAATCTTACGTCACTTCCTCTCTTTGCCAACATTGCGACATTCAATATATTTGAATGATACGGTTAGCGCCCAGTTAGCTCCTAGCATTTCTCAACAGCTCTGCCTCCTTTTCGACTGCCCGGGACATTTAAACAATGGATAATCCGTATACAAAGAAATTCATGCTTTTCTCCTCAACAGAGAGCGTCCCCCGATTGAGCAACAGCGCCGTAAAATAAGAAGAATGGCGCCTAATTACAGAGTTAATAATGCAGACTTTGTAATATCTCACGTGTAGATTCATCAGCCAGATGAAGTGTTTACTGACAATTGACAGTGATAGCGCACATCATCATCACTATTCCAACAATCCTCTCCTCACAGACAAGCATAAACACACTCGACTATCGCTAAATCAGATTTAACACACGTTTGTAATGACGCTAATTCAGTTTATAATAGGGTTTATTCGCTCGGTCAGCAGGTGGCGGTATCCTCGTACACTGGGGAGTAAACTGCCATTAAACGAACAGAAGAAGAAGAAAACATCTGCACATGCGCGGTACGGATCGGGTAGACCCGATTTGTACGGTCAGACTTTACACATGCGCAGTAAGGATCGGAGAGTCCTGATCCGTAACTTTCTTTTTATTTTTCGTTTTTGTCTACATTGTACTGAAATGCTTCATTATTGCAAACATTTTAAGATATACTTGTTATTCTTAACATCTTAACAGATACTCTGACCCATAACTATCGTAAAACGCTACGACCGGAAGTAGAAACCTTTCGCGCATGCGGGGTACCGATCGGGTTTCCGGTACGGATCGGGTAGTGACAATGAGACTAAAGTCATCTCACTGTGGTGATGTAAATATAATATGGCTAATATTATAGTATTGTCAGATTATTATGATATATATATATATCTATATATATATATCTATCTCTCTATCTCTCTCATATCTCTATAGATAGAGAGAGAGAGAGAGAGATAGATATATCTGACTTTCAGCTTGTGTTTGTGGATACATGATTGACTTTAATTATTAAATATTCGCAGATAAATAAGTGACGTCATATTCAGTACTTTTGACAGTTCACTCTTCGGACGCTCCCTTCTGCCGTATTTTGCGGCAAAATTCTCCACACCCACCGCCGCGCTATGAATTGTGGGATATATGGGACCACGAAGCGTGCACCGGACCAGGCTTGATATTTGGGGAAATCGACGGCGCATTTGGAGTATGCGTTTGAAGCGCACTTAGAATTGGGACAGCCGTCGTCGCGTGGCGGTGACGTAACCGCACTTGAAATGCGTACTTCAAGCGCGCAGACCCTGAATTGGGACACAGCCAGTATCTCTCTGATCGTTTCCGGTTTTGCTCACCTGTCCGGTGCGGCTGCCTGTCAAGTTTCCAGGTGATGTCCAGCAGTCTGCGCCTGCGCTCGCAGTCCATCTCCTCCTCGGTGCGTTGTTCAAACTCTCTGCCACCTCCTGCTTCTCCTCCTCCTCCGTCAGCAGTCACGGCCTCGGTGACAAACTCAGCCGGAAGTTGAAGGGAAGACATTTTTGATGCAGCCGAGAGAAAAACGTGAGATTAAACTTCAGTGAAGCTAAAGCTAATGCTAACTCCGCCGTCCATCCGGAAAGCCCGGTGTGCTCTGCGCATGTGCGAAAAGGGATTCTTCCAGTTCCTGCCTTTCACAATAAAAGTGTAAACAACGTAAACTCGGAGGTGCAGAGGGAACCCTTTCAGAATAAAACGTGACAGAGTCCAGAGTGAGAGATCATTTTTTACCTTTAGTGTGTTTCATATTTTGGCTCCACGCTCCTCACGCTCAGCAGTTTTAATGAGAGCAAAGTGATATGGTACTATAAGGTTATTAAGATTATTTAGGGCCTTGTATGTGAGGAGCAGGATTTTAAATTCTGGATTTAACAGGGATCCTGATAATGAGTTACAGTCGTCCAGCCTGGAAGTAACAAATGCATGAACTAGTTCTTCAGCGTCACTCTGAGACAGGATGTTTCTAACTTTAGAGATGCTGATCAGATGAAAGAAGCAGTTACAGATCATGTCCTGGTCAGAAATGACTCGCTGATGATGTCATCCAGACTGGTGTCAGTGGGAAACACAGCAGCCTCCGAAACTTCTGCCCGAGACTGTGACACCTTAAAATGATCTCTTTCAAAGTTTCATGATAAACATAGTTAAACGCTGCCATCGCCTCGGCGGCGTGAATGTTGGGGTAGTTTTGAGCTTTTAACGATTTCACTGAACTTAATGACCGTGCGGCTTAAATCACAGCTGATGTTTGGTGAAGCGTCTGTTTGCAGCTGCTTCTACATCATGTCCAGGTGAACCTTTGACCATTTTCGTCATTCCTACAAACAGCCGCAGGAGATCTGGGATTACTCGCAGTCTGACCACCACAAACAGCCTCACGAGTTTATACCAATGGTGATGGTATAAAGGAGGCGCTGATCCTCCTCAGGTGCGCGCTCACCTGTGGGACCGATGTTCGTTTTCACTTCAGAACAAAATTAACATGAAATAAGAGCGACGGCAGCGTGAGCATCAAAGAAACACGAGCACGCCAAACAGGAATCGGACCACAGTCAAACTTTCAGGTAGACTTTATTGTCAACATAGGGACAGCAGACAGGCGTGACCTTTGACCCTGATCCTCCAGGAGTCTGTTCAGTAGATCAGCAACAGGACGAGAACGAGGGGGAATAAATTAAAACCCAAAACAACTCGTCAGGTAAAAAACAAGAACAACGGGAACTCCACGCTACGAGAAACGAAAACAGAAGCTTCGAAAGAAATTCATAAAAAATCGATTAGAAAACGTTTCAGTTTTTGGTTTATTTCTTCCTCGCTGTGCTTCTGTGACTCTCTCACACGCACGCTCGCTCGCTCACACACACACGCTCGCTCGCTCACACACACACACACGCTCGCTCGCGCGCACACACACACACACTCGCTCGCTCGCTCGCTCGCTCGCTCGCACACACACACACTCACACACACACACACACACACACACACACACACACGCTCGCACACACACACACACACACACACACACTCGCTCTCTCACACACACTCTGTACATCAGATCAAACATCAGTATTTACACTCGTGTTAATAGATTCTATATCTTTAAATTCTCTCTTTGATGTCTGCAGCTCATCTCGTGGGCGAGGGAGTTATATACTTTAAACCCCACCCCCACCCAGGGCAGGACCAATCAGCAGCTGCTGTTCTTGAACTCTCCGTTCTCAGTGATTGACAGCTTGGTGGGGTTGCTTGGCGACAGGCCGTTGCGAAGGTTGGGAGTGCTGTAACGCTCCTTCACCTGCGTCAGCGCCGCCATCAGCCGTGAGTTCGCCGCATCCAGGGACCCGATCCTTTTCTCCTGATTGGATAAAGATGAGAAAGGGGGCGGGACAGGAAGTCAGACCGACAGGTAAACAACAACAACAAAGCAGTTTGGTGTTGATCGGAGAGTCGGGTCAAAACCACACAAGGAAAAATAGAAAGTAACATCCCTTTAATGAAACTTTTATTAAAATACTGATTAAACGAGGTGACGGATAAGAAACAACTAAAGAAAAAAGATTTTTAATAAAAACGACTTAACCCTGAATCCAAATCAGGCTTTAATGAAAACATTTCAACAGCTTTATCAGTGAAACATGTTCAGTGACACATAGTTTTCTACAAAGAGCGAAAAGATCTTTAATCGGACACGTTCAAATAAAACCTGCGCGACAGACGAAACGATGCAGATTTAAAAGGACGATTTGGCCTCTTAACACAACATTAAATGATTTAAAGGTTGAAAAAAAGACCAGCTCACACAAAATCTAAAAACGGTTCAGCTTAATAAAAGCGGCGACGTGGTTTTGACCCGACGTGAAAACAAAAACAACCACAGGAAGTTTGAGGGCAGCAGCCGAAAATATAAACAGCAGCCCAAAAAAGCTCAAACCAGCGAAAAAACAAAAAGGTGAAAGTCCAACGCCGTCTCCTGAGCCTGCTGACGACTCGCTTTATTTTGAAAGGGTGAACTAGAAGCTGTGGTGGTTTACAGGGAGGGGGGGTGGGAGGTGGTGTGGGGAGGGGGAGGTGGGGTCTGCAGCCAAACTTAAACAAAACCAGCCGAGAGCGCAACACGCCGACACACCAGCGTATTACAGAGCAGCTGGAACCAGCCGTCAGCTGAACTACAGGAGCCCCCGAGGCCCAAGAACGACTTTGAAGATGAAGCTGAGTGAAAATATTTAATTATTAATAAATGTTCTTATTTACTGTGACTGAAGGAAGGACGCTGTTCGTGAACGTTCTTTTGTCAAATTGAGTTTTTTATCCCCACGTGAACCAGAGGGGGGCGCCCACCAGGGGGCGCCGACAGCTGCACTAATCCTGAGCTCTTGATAAACTCAATGCTGAAACTCCGCGCTCTGATTGGCTGGTTCAACAGGTGTCAGGTGTGTTGGCAGTGTTTTTTCCCCCCCTAAAAATAAATTCATAAAAACAAAAAACACACAGCGTGGCGTTGGTGATAGTGGCGGAGGAGGAAGGGGCGGGGCTACAGTTACTTGCCTGATTGGTTTATTTCACATCCGTTACTGACCTGAAATCAGTGGAGAGACTGTGAGACGTTTCAAAAGATTTAAAGTTTCCGTCACAGCTGCAGCTCGAACACAACGCATCGCTGCTTCCCTCTGAAACCCATTACCCGTGCCACAGGCGTGCCACAGGCGTGGCACGAGCGTGGCACGAGCGTGGCACAGGTGTGTCATGGGTGTGTCTGTACCTGAGCGTCGATGATCTTCTGTTTGGCTTCGATCACTGCCTGCATCTCTGCGTGGTCCCGCCGTAGCTCCTCCTCCACCGCCATCAGTCTGCAAATGTACAGAACATCATCATCATCATCATCACCTTAAATATCAACATCTGGGTCGTGTCCGAATCCATGGGCTGCGTCCTCCTGAGGACGCATTTGTAGGCCGATTACGTCACAGCGACGCACCGAAGGCCGTCCAAATTCCTCCGAATGCGGCCGACACATGCGTCCTCCTTTTCCCCGAATTTGAAGGATGGGTCAGGTGTGTCCTTCGTGGCCCACCGTATCCCAGAATTCATAGCGCAGCCCAGCCAATTCCAGTTTCCAACAATGGCGGCCGCTACTAAGTTTTAAAATTACTCTTATTAATCTTTCTGGGTCACAAAATAAACTTTTAACATATTTTCAGGCGAGAACGTAGCTCAAATATCTGCTCGGTTTATCAAGACATCGCATATTTGCAGAGGTGCTCCGACGTTTTCAGAGACGTCTGCTACCCACCAGCTGGAGAGCTGACCGAGTGCTGGAGGGTCACTGGAGCCGCCGAGAATTAGGTTAGGCTTATTATTACTTAAACGTAATATATAAGTACCTGAGACAACCTAAACATGTCATTGTTGGGCTTTTTTCAGTGTTTTATTTGTTTGTGAGTAAATCGGTTTGGCTGAGATTAAAGTTATTAGATTAGATAAAGTAAAACTTTATTAATGGTGGTTTTCACACAGCTGAATAAACAGACGTGTGAGACGGTCGAGAGTTTACTCCAGTGTCCTGTTACAGAGGGATGCAAAGGTTTGGGCAGCCTTGTTAACAGTCAGTATTTTCCTGCATAAGTTGTTGGTTGTTACAATAAAAAATGTCGGTTAAATATATCAGAGGAGACACACAGAAGTGAAATGAAGTTTATTGGATTTACAGAAAGTGTGCAAGAATTGTTTAAACAAAATCAGGCAGGTGCACAAATCTGTTGTCATGTCATTGATTCCAAAACCTTCAGAACTAATTCCTGGAAGTCAAATTGGCCTGGTAACCTCAGTGACCCCTGACCTACATGCACAGGTGAATCCAATTTAAGGGGGTCAATTGTAAAGTTTCCCTCCTCTTTTAATTTCCTCTGAAGAGTAGCAACACGGGGGTCTCAGAACAACTGTCATCATGGTGGGAAGGACACAGAAAGCTGCCTCAGAGAGTTACGCCGTCTGTCTCCACACTTAGGAACATATTGAGGCAATCAAAGGCCACAGGCTCAAGTTAAGGCTCGAGTGTCAGACCGAGAAACAGACAGGCGCAGTCGAAGATCGCAGCGGTCCCAGATCAGCTGTCCACACTGGAACTCTTCCCCATGTTGCTGTCTGTGTTTATTGTGCTGTGGTGTGTTGATATCTGTGCATTCCTGTATTATCCTTCTGTGTTACACATTTCGATGTTTTTTCCTCGCTACCTAGCCTGACCTGTCTCCCCAATGTGATGCTTGTATTGTATGTACGGTTGGCAAGGTCTGTCATCTCGGCTGTGGGCAAAAGACCTGCAACTGACAAATAAAGGCTCTCTCATCTCATCTCATCATCTCTCATCTGGACAAGCCAGCTTCATTCTGGAATAAGCTGCTGTGGACAGATGAAACTAACATTGAGTTATTTGGGCATAACACGGGGCGTTATGCACGGAGGAAACAGAACACAGCAGTCCCAGAAAAACACCTGCTGCCTCCAGTAAAATGTGGTGCTGGCTCCATCACGCTGTGGGGCCAGTGCAGGGACACATGGTTTCCACTCAGTATCAGCAGATTCTGGAGACCAATGTCCAGGAATCAGTGACAGAGCTGAAGCTGCGCCCGGGCTGGATCTTTCAACGAGACAACGACCTGCTCAAAATCCACTAAAGCTTTCATGCAGAGGAAGAAGGACAACGTCCTGGAACGTTCATCTCAGCCCAGACCTGAGTATTATTGAAACCTGTGTCCATGCTCAGAAGCCATCAAACCTGACTGAACGAGAGATGTTCTGTAAAGAGGAACAGTCCAAAATACCTTCAACCACAATCCAGACTCTCACTGACCCACAGGAAGCGTGTAGAGGCTGGAGTTTCTGCAAAAGGCGGATCTGCTAAATATTGATTTCATTTCTTTGTGGAGCCCAAATTTATGCACCTGCCTGATTTTGTTAAAAGAATTCTTGCACACTTTCTGTGAATCCAATAAACTTCTCAAATATCCCTGTGCGTCTCCTCTATGATGTATTTAACCAACGATTTATACATAATGAACAAGGCTGCCCAAACGTTTGCATCTCACTGTATGTTTTAGACAGCAAGGAGCAGACGGCTGAGGTTATTAAACTCCACCGAGTCAGCGGCGACGCCGATCTGAAGGCTGGACCGTCCAATTCCACGGCCGTTTACTTCCGGCCGACCCGACCTTCTGAGGACCCGGCCCACGTAGGCCGCGTAGGCCGGGTCCTCAGGAGGATGCAGCCCATGAATTCGGACACGACCCTGGTTTGATTTACTTAAACTCCTCCTGAACACCTGAAGCCCATTTTCTGTGACATCAGCCCCGCCTCTTCCATCATGTGACCTGTGTGTGCGTACCTGCAGATGATGCTCTTCATCTGGGTGTCCTTCTCCTCCTGCTGCCTCCTCAGTCGCTCCTCGCTGTCTTCCAGCCGGTTTTTGTACTCGTGCAGCAGCTTCTGCATCTGCTGCTCCTGAGCGAGCAGCCGCCGCTCGTACTCCTCGAGGCGCCGCCCGGACACGCGCAGGCGCTCCTTCAGCCGAGAGATCTCCAGCTCGTACTGTGGAAACAGGAAGCAGTTTCACAGAAATGAGCCTTCGTCACTTCCTTATGGGCTTCGCCTGCAGCCCAGGTGTGCCTGTTACCTTCTCTGTGTTCCTGCCCTCCTCCCTGCTCCTCTCCCCTCCCTCCTCCTCCTCGTACTGGCCGTTGTTTAGGACCCATGCCGCCGTCCTCTCCACGGGAGACATCGCCACCGCCACCGCCTCCACTGGAGACGCCACCTGCACACAAAGCAGTGACATCATCAGAAACACACCTGAAACGCTAAAAGTCTGAGACTCGGCGGATTTCTGTCGTACCTGTGGCATCTGCTTGGTGGTGCTCTTTGGGGGCGGAGCCACGTTCTCCACAGAGCAGGTGGACGGTTGGCGGTTGATGATGCCAGCGGCAGGGGTGGGCGTTGGCTCGGTGTTGGCGCTGCTGCTGCTGCGCAGTGAGGCGCTGTGTGCAGCGGACCGTGGCGTCCTTGCCCCGCCCCCTTTGCTCTGCTGCTCCACCTTTATGATGTGGGCGGTGCCTGCTGTTGTGCTCTGACGAGGGATGGCGACCGCTGTGGCGGTGCCGGGTGGGAGGTCTTGCAGGGCATGGCGGCGTGGCGTAGAGCAGTCCTCGCTCTGCGTGCTCCGCCTGCTGCCCACCTCGTCCAGGCTGCTGTTGGACGGCGCGCGACCTTTGCCCCCCACCTGGCTGCCGAAGTCGTCAGAGTTGCTGTGGCTGTTGTGGGAGCTCTCGGTGCTCAGGTTCTCGGAGCTGGAGTCCTGCCGCAGCGAGTGGGCGGAGCGTGTTGTCGTGCTGTGGGCGGGGTTACTTAGGTGGTAGACGGGGTTCTGGAACGAGAGCGGCTGCAGGCTGCGCTGCTGACTGACGGAGGCGTGCAGCGGCCGCCTCACCTGCGGAGCGCTCTGTGGCTGTCCATCTCTGGGCGGGACTTTGGCCTGGTGTGGTGCCAGCTGAGGGGTGAGAGGGTTGGAGTGGGAGTAGGTAACCGGGGCAACGGCATGTCCGACGGAGGCCTGCGAGCCAACCCTGCTGAGACGGGGCGGGGCCTCGTGGTGTGGCGGGGGCCCCGCGTGGCCGTGGAGGCTCTGAGCGTCCTGCAGGTCAACCAGAGAGATGCTGCGACCGTTGGGCAGCAGCGTGTCGCGCTCCTCCTGGTCGGAGAAGCTGGTGTGGTTGGAGGGATGCTGCTGAGGCAACAGGGGGCGCTGACCCCGAACTGGTGTCTGCAGACTGCGAACCTCGCTGCGGCTGCAGGAAGTGAGACGTGAACAGCAGTTAGAGAAAATGAAACTTTTCTGACTGATCGTTCCTCAGGGATCGATTCTGGGGTCTCTGGTGACTCTCCTTTATACCTCATCTCTTCTGACATATTTCAGAAACGTCTTATGAAGCTAAGCTCGTTTGAAACAGCTGTGCACCTATTTAAACCTTCATGCATGTCAGGAACAGGAAGTGTTGCACAGAAACTGGTTCACGTGAAGACACCAGAAACCTGTTCAACACCTGATCTGTCTGCTGATTGGTTACCTGTCACTGGGGTCCTCAAAGATTCGTTGCAATCCCGACGACAGGCTGCCGCTGATGTTGTGGGCGGAGCTGTGGTCCTGGAAGCGCCGCAGCTGCTGCTGGACGGGCGTTGGAGCGGCCAGGCAGCGAGTGATATCTCCCAGAATCCTCGGCAGCGGGCCCAGCTTCGCTATGGTGGCCTGCAGGAAGGAATTTTCACCCTGTGGTCGCCGTGTGTGCGTTTGTGTGTTTGTTCGTGGATGGTTTGAATGGAAGCACCAAGATGCGGTGGTGGTGGTGGTGGTGGTGGGGAAGCACATAACAGACAGGAAGTGAACAGAAAGAGGGGGGGGAGGAAAAAACATGAGGGAAACTTAATGAGAACGAAAACAACTAGAACGACATGCTTCTACTGAACAGAACCAGAACCGACACAGCAGAGCCATGCTGAGACGGGTGAGGCAGGGGGGAGCGGAGGGTGAGCTGGAGGGTGGGGGAGGAGCAGTTCAGGCCATGCTGTGATGTTCAGCCACGCAGCGTTAATGTGGTTAGATGAAGTCAAACATGTCACATCGAACACACCACTCAGCGATCAGCTGATAGTCAGACACATTCTGCACACAGTGATGTCATCCAGCGGGGTCAGGGTGTCCTGTGAGACGCCGCCCGTGGCTGCTACCGGCCTGGTCGGGCTGTTCGGTCCAGCATCGTGCAGTTTGCAACATGTTGCTTTAATAACTGCTCAAAAAACTTAGAGGAACTTCGACTCGCTCAGTATCAGGTCAACATCCCAAACATCTGTAAGTGTTTTAATGTTCCTGAGCGTCACAGGGACGCCTGCTGAGTCTGCAGCACCTGAGCTGTGTGTGAGTCGGTGTTCACCACACACACACACACACACACACACACACACGTGCACACACACACACACACACACACACACACAGTGTTGATGGTTCGTGTGTCTGTACCTTGTCGAGCTGAGAGACGACCTCCCACAGGAGGGCGTGCAGGACGGACAGCTCGCGGCCGAGGTCGATGTAGCCCTCGAACCCCGGCGTGTTGGTCAGCGTCTCCGGGTTGGAAATCTCCGACAGGAAACGCATCATCCCCGCCCATTCGTGCTCCAGGAAGTCGTTCATGAAGGCCATGTACTCCTCCTTGTTTCCAAACCTTTGGAGGAAACGCAAAGTGAGATTTAGTTTTTTCAGAACAACCCCGGCGGCGCGCGCTGACCTGCAGATACTCACTTGGTGAAGTTGGCGAGGTTCTGGATGACTTTGGCGATGAGCGTGAGCGTCCGGGACGTTCGGTCGTCGGGATACTCCTGCATGAGGTTGAAGAGCGAGGGCGACATGATGGCGGGGCAGAGGAAGCGCAGGAAGAGCGAGGCGCTGATGAGGCGCTTGCTGATGTCCTGCTGGTGGCCGCGGGCGACGCACTGCTGCTTCCACGAGGCGAACACTTCCTTCAGCTCACGAGGAAACACGCTGCGGAGACGGGAAGGAGCCGACAGCACTCAGAGCAGGAAGGAAGGATCAGGTAGCTGCTGCTTCCCGCCACACGCTGAAGGCTTTTAATACGCCTCAGCGAGCAGGATAACGTCGTTTACGCCAACACACACAGATCCCAACTTCCTGTCTCTGAGACTCAAACCGATCCCAGCGACAGCTTCACGGTCAGACCGAACGGCCTTCAAGCATCTGAAGGAGGACGACTTTAATTTACCCCAGAAAACATGAAACGTCTCCATCAAAGCCGGAGCGCCGTCGTCTGGCTGCTCATTGGACAAACAGGAAACATCTCACCTTCAAAGGCTTTTAATTCGCTCATTTTCAGTAGCCGCCTCACAACTTCCTGTAACACTTTGCTGCCGTTTCATCCAATCACCATGTTAACCTGCTGTGACCCTGATTAAACTCACAGGTCAAAGGTCAGCTCAGAGGAACAAACAGGGTCTCTGAGCTGTAGTTGCCTCCCGGTGGCAGCAGGGGGCAGAGGTTAACGGTAGACGACCTTCACTGAGCTCTGCTGGTTTTATCTGATCCCTGATGCTGTCGCCTTAGTAACACCGTTACTCCTGCTCTGCTTCTTTTGTCTTTTTAAATGTCCACACGCGCACACACACACAGACACACACACACACACAGACACAGACACACGCACACACAGACACACACACACACACACACACACACACACACACACACACACACACACACACAC